AGTTCAGTCTAGAAGCAGCCTAATGGAAGTTAATATGAAAAAAGAGGGCAGCACTCATCATGTCACCATAGAATCATAGAATTTTTGAACTAGAAAAAAAAAAACCTAGTCCAGGGGTTCTTAACTGTTTTTTTGGACCTCTTTGGTAGCCTGCTGAAACACATGAACCTCTCCTCAGAATAATGTTTTTCAATAGTTGAAGGAAACGAGAGGTTAGTAAAAATAGATGTAACTTTTCCCATCCAATCATGGACCCCCTGAAATCTATTCATCTTCCCCTACCCATTTTACAAATGAAGAAACTGAGGCCCATAGAGATTAAGTGACTTGCCCAACTAACTTGTCCAGCTGGATAGTTGCACTGTTGGTACTAGGACTCAGGTCTCCTGATTCCCAGCCCAGAGTCTTTTCCAAAGAACCAGTAAGCCTTGAAAAAAAGACAATACTTCCATAAAACATAAATCTCCCAGGATCCTCTCTTCCCTCACCATCACCACTATTTGTGCTTAAACTTCAGCATGTTATTCAATTCAACAAACATTTATTAAGCATGTATGAAGTGCAAGGCACTATACTAGACAGGAAATTTTGTGGTAGTCCAAAAGTAAAACAATACCTGCCTTCAAGGAACATATGTTCTGTCATCAATAAAAGATTCATTAATTTCATATAGTTCTTTAATATAGGTTCTAAACCTCTTTCTCTGTTTTTTTTTTTAAACCAGACTGGTGATTTTATTGGTATAGATAGCTCCCAGGGAGAAAATTCCCTCTACCAGTGCAGAACAACACCTAAACTGTAATTATAGTCTTGCCTAGTTAACTGGAGGCACTGAGAGGTTAAATGATTTGCCTAGGGTTACTCAGTGAGTAGGTGTTGGAAATAGAACTGGAACACAGGTGCTCCTGACACTGAAGCCTATTATATTCAAATCATTACTGCCTATAATAGACAACTGGTTTTTAGAGGACAAACGTTGGATTCCTAATACCTCTTCCTTCCCCCCATACACAGTAGGCCCTTAATAAGTATGTTTAATAATGGTCAGGGTATAATCCGCTTCTATGGGAGAATAATATATCAAATGATGCCTGCAAAAACATTGAATTCCCCCACTAATATCTGTAAAATAATTTAAATGGTTGGCTATATTTTAATTTCTCCTCCACGCCACCTGCCCCCTCCATCAAAAATACAAAGCTCTGAGATTGAGAAAAATTCTCATTGATGAAAAGCCAAAGGAAAACTGCTATTTTAAGTAATTAACCATTAGGTTACATAAAAGATTCCTCTCCCCAACTAGTTATGAGTTTTATAACAATTTAGAAGATTGAAAAGAACACAGCTTCTATAACTATGGTTTGCATTTGCTATGTTATGTATGCTCTATGAATTTTGTTATATAGTGTTCAACTGACTCTTTACATGCCTACATTAGAATAGGGATAAATCATCATCTTAAACATTTGCTTCCTCAGTTGTTTATGGAGAGGAAATATTCCAGTGAGGGCTGTGTTCTAATCTAGCATGAGTCTCCTGTTGTATTCTCCAGACTGTACTCTGGTATAGCCTTTCACATTCCATAAGTTTTCAGCCCTACGGAATCTTCAAACAGGAGGCAAATCAGATGGATTCAGAAATAAGTACAAAAAAATCCCGAAAACATGTAGATGTCTTCACCATAATCACAAAGTATTATTGCTTGTGGCCTTGAAAAGAAGAAATATAAAGTAAGACTTCAAGTTTACCATTTTATATTGGGTAGCAAACATTGAAAAATTATATGCCTTTCATTTTATTACTACTGTATTTGATGCTTTATTACCTCAGGCCGCTTCATTTTTCCAAGGGATCATTTAAGTATTGTCCGGCAATTTCTAAAGGGGGGGGGGAATGGGGGAGAAGAGGTTTGGGATCCATTCCAAAGGAAGGGAGGAGCTTTTAAAATTCTGGATTAAATCCGGTTAAAAGTACACAGCTTTATCCTTTGGACATTAGTCATGGCTGCAGTTTAAGGCAGGGTGAAATATAATTACCTAAAGAAGGGAAGGTAAGGGAGGAGGGGGGGAACTGCCTTCTTTATGGAATCTAAAAGACTTCAAAAGTTCTATTTCCTAAGCCTCATCCTTCTCCTTGAAAAGCACCTACAAGTTAGAAGCAATCCTAATAATAACAGCTTCTCTTAGAATGCTCAAGCCTCCTTACATCTGGTTATTTTTCAGAAGAAGAATTAGACAAAAATAATACGAGTGGGAAATAAAGAGAATGACCTACTTTACACGGGGGGTGGAGGGGGTGTGTGAAGAGCTCTCGGTGAACGTTTTGATCTAATTGACGGTGTGGAGTTGCATGACCAAATAAGGCGGTGCTAGTTATGTCGGGGCTGCTGAGACTCAAGCCTTTAACTTGGGGTGGGGGCGGGTGGAGAGGAAGAAAAGAGATTGGAAAAGAGAACAGGCAACCCCCAAACCCCTCAAACCTAGTGGAGCACCTAGGGGAAGCCTTCTTTCTAACAGTTAGCTAAACTCAAGGAAAGGGTTTGACAAAGGGACAGGTGGGGGCGCATTCTTTCTCCCAGACAGCCTTACCGCAGTCTCTCCCTTACTGCTTCACCCTGGTTTAATAGAACTAAACTAGGATATTTGGGATTGTTGATCTCCACACTGGAAGCTCAAGTGCTTGACTTGGGGGAGGAGGGGAGGAGCCGTGCGGAGCTGGGGGAGGGGAAAGAGGAATGGGAGGATTTGGGTTTGACTGTTCTTTGAAGCTATAATTTTCTCACTCCCTGCCTGTTTTTCCAGGGTGGTGGTCTTTTTATGGGAAGAAAAATCCTCCCCTCCCCTCCTAATTTGTACGGAAGGTGTTTGTCTCCAAGTAGGGGGTGATGGGAAGCAGTGGCATTTGGCGACTTTAAAGCTGAGCCTGTTACAGGGGCATCTAAATGCAGTGGGGAGGAGTGCTGCCTGGGAAGGTCCTGAAAAATCCAGCCGTTTTTCAAGGTACCGCCTGAGTTGTTAGAGCCGCCCTTTTCTGCCCGACTTAAGTTTTGGAGCCATGCGGAATTATCAAACAGCAGCTACTGGTTTATTTTAAGACTATTTATATACATCTGCCTCCTGACTGATATTTGCTGTAGGCTTTGTGAAACCCTCCCTGTTTTTGCTCTACTTATTTTTCCTCTCTCTCCCTCTCCAGCTTCTCCTTTTCTTGGATCCTCGCCTGTCTCCTCCCACAAAGCGAAAAAAAAAAAAAGGTCACGTATGTTTGGAAAAATATGTAGGTCAGTGGAACATTTCCTGCACTTGTGCAAAAGGAGAGGAGGGTGGCGGGGGGGTGGGGGTGGGGGGTGGGGGGAGGGGAAGTCAGGAGGAGGAATTGGGGGGGGAGTGTGTGCTCCTCTGGGCAATCTCCTCCTCCCCCCTCAAATCTACCTCAGACTTTAGAGGGGGTGGGGTGGGGAAGGGGCAATTAGCATGTTCCTTTTCATCCCTGACCCATTTTCCAGACCAGCTACATTCTCCTTGAGATACCGATTATTTAGAACAAGCTGCAGCAGCTAACGCAGCCACCTCCCCCAATCACACCTCAACCCTACTCCACACCAACAACTGGCCCCCACGCTCCCCAACGTCTTTCTCTGACGCCCCTCTCCCCAACTAATTCGGAAACCACATTTGTTATCTAATATTCCCTAAAGAGAATACACTCTCCTGTGTGCAAGGACACCGAAGCACAGACCTATGCCCCCAAGGCAGTATTGGGGAGAACAGAGGGGGCGGACACTCACATCCACGCACGCACACACACGCAGGTGAGAGTGGGAGGGGGTTGCCAAACGCAGGCTTTTCAAAGAGCTGGGGGGGGGGGTGGAATCTTTCTGCCCCTGGGTGCCAACTTTGATAGAAACTCTTGCACCATCTCTCCTTGGCCCATTCACCTCAAGACCACGGCCCCTACCCCCGCCCCCAGCCTCGCCATCCCTAATACCCTCGCCACTGTTTCCCACCCCACCTCCCAGCTATCCGCCAGCAGCGAGGCTGCCACGCTGCAGCGGGACCCCAGGAGCCCGCAGGGAGCCGGACCCTTCTAGCAGCAGCCCCAGTCAGTGGCTGCAAGCGTCCGAGCCCGCAGGTCGAGAGAAGACCGTGTGTCAGTTAGTGGGTCCCGGAGCCCCAGTGTCGTGCGTACGTGTGTGGTGTGTGCATGTGAGTCCGCGAGGCGCAGGCGAAGCCGGAGCCCCGGGATGCGGTGGCTGCTCTCACCATGAGATACCGCGGCGGCGGCAGTAGGAGCAGCGGGAAGGAGGAGGAGAAGGAGGAGGAGGAGGAAGAGGAGGAGGAGGAAGAGAAGAAGGAGGAGGCGGCGGCGGCGGCGGCGGCGGCAGTGGCGGCGGCTAAGGAGGAAAACCCTCCTGGCTGGCTGTGTGTGCGGAAGAGTTTGCCTTCCGAGCAGCCCGGCCTCCTGCAGGACTGGAGCAGCGGCGGGAGCGGGAGACGCCGGGAAAGCGGTAACATCCACCCCGAGGGTCGGAGCAGCGTCGGCGGCGGCGGCGGGGACAGTGGGAGCAGGAGCAGGAGCAGGAGCAGGAGCAGCCGCCGCCAGCAGCCGGGTCCGAGCAGTCCCAGCTCTCGGGTCGCCTCGGCCGACAGCAGCAGCGGCAGCTGGAAGAGCGCGGTCCCCGCCAGGCTCGAGGGCTTCCCCCAGCAGAGGCAGCGGCAGCGGCAGCGGCAGCTGGAGCCCCCAGAGCCCCGCAGCCGCCGCCGCCAGCAGCCCAGGTAGTGCCGCTCCGGGGGTAGGGTGGGGGCAGGGATGTGGGGAGCCGGAGGACTGGAGGGGAGACAAGACAGGTTTCTTGGGCTTCTGCTGGGTGACACGCTACTACATGCCTCGCTCTGCGTGTTTGTGTGTGTGTGTGTGTGTGTGTGTGTGTATGTGTATGAGTGTGTTGTGTGAGCGTGGGCGCGCGTCGGCGGGTGTGTGTGTTTGTTCATTCACCTGCTCCTGGAGGCGGTGGGAAATGCTGTCCTCCAGCCAAGTGCGGAGACCCCATGCGCGGAGTGGGCAATGGGGAGGGGAGCTGGGGGAAGGCTCCGTATCTTGTAAAGGCTGCTCCCTGTATGAGGTGGGAGACTATTTGTACATGCATATTCACACGCCCATGGCCCTGGGTTACCCATTTCTGCAGGAAAGCAGGAGGAGGAGAAGTAGGTGGCGATTGCAACTCTGGTCATTTCAGTGTTTGCCTGAGAGTCGGGAGGGAGTAAATGGAGCACCTCCAAGACTTTGGGATGTTTTAGACACTTTGGGGCAGCGTCTGAGAGGGACTTAGCCCAGGCAATATTATTTGGGAATTTATAAACCATCCCCACCCAAGCCCACGATCTCAGATCCAGCGGATCCCACGGTACGTTTTGAACTCCGGACTGATTGCTTCAGGCTTTTATGCACTTGCACTTTGGTGGAACCACCTGTAATGGGGAGGAGGGAGAGTCTTCTGACATTTGGAGGGAAGGAGAGGGTGGCATGGGTGCCACTGGATACATCTCTTTGGTTACTAGATTAGAATTTGGCCCAGACAAGGCACTGAGTCTGCTGTCATTTCTTTGGGGAACTCTGAAGAGTCCAGCTTCTTGAATAGTCTGGTCAGTGGTCCTGTAGTTCCATGCTTTGCTTATCCATAAGATACCGAGGGCATTCGAGGTTTTATTGGAAAATGGGTTTTTCAGCCCCCCTGAGATGAAGCAGGTTTTGGCTTTCATAAATTGAGCTCTTGCTAGGTAATCAGAAAGGGATTAACAGGTAACAAGGTACTACGTTCAAACAAATACACAAAAACCTCACTACACTATTGGCCACTCCTTAAATGCTCAGGGTAGGAAACTTTATTTTCAGTACTGTAATTCATAAATAATTAGTAGCTAGATATGTTGATTAAACAATAGAGAAGCCTCCACACACTCACACACCCTTCCGTAAAACTCTGGATTATAACAGGTATGCATTATTACACTAAGCTTTAAGCTCTCAAATCCAACAGGTGTTCTCATTCTGAATAGGGGTCTCTGAAGTGGAAAATTACACCTTCCTTTTCATTATTAAATGCTGCTTTCAGTATCCAGTACATGACAGGAATGATACTTTTTTTTTCCTAGTTCATTATTTAAATTGTATGTCTTTACAGGCAAAATGAAATAGAGAGTTGAGATGATATGATTATTGTGGGCAGTGTAAACTAGCTTATCTGGATAATTTAGGGCTGAAACTTTCTTTTCTTCCTTAGTAGGAGTGCACTTTTACTTTTGACTTTGTAGATTGGCTCAGAAATATACTTCACTTAGCTTGCATGGACTGACTTAGTAAGGCAGTCAGATCACCTCTGATATACTTTTATAACAGTTAGCTGTTCCAAAGCCTAATGGTTGTCTAACGACTTATTTTCTACATTCAAAATATGGCTACCCTTCTTAATCTAGAAGATGTGTTTCAAAATTCAAGGACAAATGCTTCCTTCATCTTTTGCAACCTGACTTTGCAAAAGGAAAACCAGTTTCCACAATTTTGCTAATAATAACAAAAACAAATATAAACAGAATGGTTTGAGAGATTCTTTCTGAAATAGGCCTTTATTTCACAAAAATGCAGTGTTTCATTATAAAACCAAACTAGGTGTAATAGAAGTATTGGCATGTCTCAGCACTTCTCATTAAAGCTTTAGTTAAAAATAAAGTGAGTGAACATAAACTCAATCAGCAACTATGTTTCCATCTTAAAGAGAAATCATGGTCTAAGGCGTACAAGAATTATAAGTGAAAAGCTTTTAGCCATTTCCTTTTGTGAAATAGATTTCTTTATTTATTCTACAATCTGCCCCATTAAGTGAACATAAAGTAGGTTTTGTTCTCACCTCTCCCCTTGGTGACATATAGAATGAAAGAGGAAAATGAATTCTAGAGAAAGAGTTATTAATAAAATTTCACCTCCAAAAGAGTTGAAAATGAAAGGAAAAGAGCCTTATCTTTGAAAACCAAGATGAGCTTTAAAAATGAGCGTAATGAAAAAATCCATAACATGTAAGTGGTATGGTATAACAATTATTCAGACTAAAAATAAAGTATTAATACATTTGCTGAAAAGCTCAATTATTTTTAAAGTTTAAGGAGAGTTATGAGAAATCTTTGAACATTTTCTAGCTGATTAATAATGAAGTTTGGAAAAAATATATATATTTGTTCGCTCTCATTTATTTGAATCAATTCTATTTTTTATGAGTAGTCTTCCCCTTTTCCTACCATTCTAATACCTGACTGCTAACACTTGATACTTTTGAAAAAAGTTTCAGTCAAAGCAGGTTTGTGGTTTTTTCATACTGAAATAATAGTTCTTTTTCTGTATATACATATGTCCATATTATGTACACAGCCATACTTATGCATCACAACTTCATAGTGTAACACTCTTACATGTTATTTGAACACTGTGGACTGAAAGGATTAAGTTTTTTGGTCCCTTTAATATTTTTATTTTTTTTATTTAGTGTTTTTAAATGATTTGTCAGACCTTCCTTGGGGACCATGACATCACTAACTGTTGTACACTGATTATACTGCACAGGATGACTTCTCTTTTCCCAAGAGAGGTCAAATTGTTGAGTCATTTGAAATGTCTGAATGATTAAATATTCTTGGCTGCATTGTATCAAGTGTTTAATTGGTCACTTTATAGCAAGTATTTAATTTAGTTGAACTTTCAAATATAAATTATATCTGATCTCTCATTTGCTTGTGAAAATGTCGTGTTGGCACGACCATCATCTTTCTTGTATTTGTCATAATGGTTCAAAAGAAAGGCTTTAGCTAGAAAGTGATATTGACTCAAAAGTTACTTAAAAAAAAACCTACGCCTTTATATCTTGTGTTCTAGTGGGCTACTTAACTGTAAGTATTTCTGTTTTGAATGGTATTTCTGATGATGTATTTCTTTTTATATCCCCAATGCTTGGCATGTAGTAGGTACTTAATAAATGTTTATTGATTGATGAGTAATGATAGATTGGGGTGCTAAATAAATATTTATTAAAGAAGAGCATGTACTAAAGAAAGAGTTTTTTTTAAAGATAGTATTTAGGTAAATCTAGCGAGTTTTCCTTACCTCAATTCGTTAACTGGAGCTTCTAATCTCAGAAGCTGGGGGCTGGCTTGTATACTTCAAATCATCCCACTTGCAAAGCCTCCATAGACTTCTGTGAGAAGGCATTTGTGTAGAAGTTACTCTGCAACTGTATTATATACCACTGTGCTAGTCTCATGATTTCTTGACCTGAAATGCAGAAGAGTTAGTTTATCTAATCCATACTGGAAAAATGTGGGAAATCAGAGCACAGTCCTAGTCCACATACCTGTATACCTTTAATTCCATCAACATGGGAACACACTCAACCATCCTCTATCACAACCCATCTCTAACTTACATTCTTAGAGAATTGACTGAGGCTTAGAAAATTGTTGCTTGCCCAGTGTTACACAGCTAGTAAGTTTTGGAGACCACATTTGAACTTAGGTCTTACTGATTCTACCTTAATATCCTTGTGTAGTGGATATAGTACTGGATTTGGAGTTAGGAAGACCAGAATTCCAGTTGTACCTTTGACATTTTGCTAGTCATGTCACACTGGACAAGTCACATTATTACTCTGGCCCTCAATTTCCTCATCTGCAAAATGAAGGAATTGGGATTCCAAGAATTCTAAGGTTACCCCTCCCCCTCCAGCTCTAAATCTGTTATTCTAAAAGCCATGTTGCCACAAATAGGAAAATAAATCAAGCAGTTAAAAAAAATGTTCTGGTACACATTTGATTAGATTATAATATGCCCAAGGTCATGGAGGAGTTGGGATTTGAAACCAGGTCATTTTATGCTGGACAGCTAGGTGGTACAGTGGATAGAGTGCTGGGCCTGGAGTCAGGAAGACTTAAATTCAAATCTGACTTCAGACACTTAATAGCTGTGTGACCCTGAGCAAGTCATTTAACCCTGTTTGCCTCAGTTTCCTCATTTGTAAAATGAGCTGTAGAAAGAAATGTCGCACCACTTCAGTATCTTTGCCAAGAAAATCCCAAATGAAGTCATGAAGAGTCTGATGTGACTAAAATGACTAAATAACAAACCTCTTACATTAACTCTGGCAGTCCTTCCAGTGTACCAGTTGTCTGCTTCCTCACAAAGGCCATAAACCAGTAGTCATCTACCTCTAAGAAATAAGAGTGCCAAGTTGTTGACCTCATCCATGCATTTATAAAAGTAACTCAGGGTAGCCAATGTGCGACAAACAGAGGAAAAGCAAATATGTTAGAAGGGCACGTAGGAGGACATTATTACTTTAAAAAAATCTACTGCTGAAGACATGTACATATTTATTAAGTCAGAAGTTCTTAACCTTTTGTGTGTGTGTCATCAACCTCTTTGGCAGTCTGCTGAAACCTATGAACCCCTTTTTACAATAACTTTTTTTAATGAATAAAATAAAATTCATAAGATTACAAAGGAAACCATTTGTATTGAAACACAGTTAATTGCCAGAAAAACTCTAAGAACCCCTGCTAGAAGTCAGGTTGCCTATGAAAGTGGACAGAAACATATGGTGCATTTTTAAAATCTTACCCTTATGGATACCTTGTCCTGGATCTGTTTAAGTGGGTATGTTCTTAGTGTCCTCTTGGGATAGAAGTGAGTGGATCAAACCTAGCAAACAGATGCTTAATGAATATTAAATCTTAAT